ACATTATTTTCCGCTGCTTTTTGATACCAATAAAAGGCTCTCTTTAAATTTTTTTCGGTTCTTTCTCTATTTTTATAACATGTAGCTAATTCATTCATTGCATATATATTTTCATCTTTGGTTACTTCTTGATATGAACAAAATGCTTTATTTAAATCTTCTTCTGTACCTTCTCCATTTTCATAACATATAGCCAAATTATATATTGCATTTTCATTACCATTTTCTAATGCTTTTTGATACCAATAAAAAGCTTTTTCTAAATTTTTTTCTGTCCCTTTTCCATTTTCATAACATTTAGCTAAATTATTCATTGCATCTTTATTATCATTTTCTGCAGATTTTTGATACCAGTAAAAAGCATTTTTTAAATTTTTTTCTGTACCTTTTCCGGCATCATAACAAATGCCTAATTTATAAAATGCATCAATATTATAATTTTCTGCTGCTTTTTTATACCAATAAAAAGCTTTCTCTAAATTTATTTCTGTTCCTATTCCATCTTCATAATATAAAGCTAAATTATTCATTGCATCTTCATTATCATTTTCTGCTGCTTTTTGATACCAATAAAAAGATTTTTCTAAATTTTTATTTGTACCCCCTCCTTTTTTGTAACTTAAAGCTAATTTATTCATTGCATTTTCATTCCCGTTTTCTGCTGCTCTTTGATACCAATAAAAGATTTTTTCTAAACTTTTATGTACATCATTATTTTTAATATATAATTTTTTTTCATATAATAATGCAACATTATATTGTGCTGTTAAATTCCCTTTATTAGCTAGTTTTTCAATTAAATTAAACACTTCATCCTCATTTTCGTTAGTTTCCATTTCTAAATTATCATTCTTATTGATCAATTCTCTCAATTTTTTGCTGATAAATAGAGGATAATCAAATTCACTTTTATCTTTATCGATTGCATTAATTAATTTACGAACTTCATTAACTGGTATATCATAATAACTAAAATAAATATTTAATTAATAAAAGTTTTTTTTTTTAAAACGACATTCACAAAAAATTTTGGAATTAATAAATTATGCTCACATCCAATCCGGAAACCATTCTTTTTTACGTTTTTGGGAAGGTGAGATATAGAATAATTCAATCTCCACAATAACCTTTAATAAATTGTGATTAAATTTAAAATAAAAATCTTCAATAAATTTATATCATTATAAATACCTTTGCTTTTTGAAGCAAGAATTCTTCATATTTGTTATAATCTTCGATTGCCATATTAAGCAATCCGATAAATAAATTCATAAGGTAAATCACAGTGAAAAATGTAAATAAAACTAATAAAATTGTCATTGTAGGGTTTTCACGGTAAGTCAATGACGACAATGAACCGGAATCACCTGTTTGGTTTTTTTTTTAAAAAATAAAAAATAAAGAGTTAGATCAGAAACGCGATAATAAATAATAATAAAAAGGAAGTAAATTTTTACCCGTAATAAATAAATACATTGCTAATAGTGAAGTAGGAAACCAATTAAACATATTTGTATTTGAATCAGTTGATTGAATCAATATAGTCTCATCTGAATTAACAGAATTAAATGTATTTGCAAGTTCCGATGGATCGATTACTCTTAAAAGAATGTAATATGCATGAGCAAATCCAATTACGATAAAAAGTAAGACCACCAAGAATGGGAAAACTTTTTTTCCAACCCCGATCATGATGATGAAATAAACTCCAAAAGATTTAAATACTTGAAAAAATAATAAAAATTTAAAATTTAATAATAAATTAGAAATTGCTATTAAAAAAAGGGGAGGTTCTCCTTTAGTAAGCCAATATATAGATGTTATAAGGGGTAAGGAATATGCTCCTATATCTATTAATAAGAGTGGTTAAAAAAAATTATTTTTTCAAAGAAAAAAGAGTATCAATATATATTAATTTACTTACCAAAGTAATTCCATAGATTTTTAAAATAAATTTTTGGCCTCCATATACATTGTCGAAATTCAAAAGTTAAATGTACAAGACCAAGTAAAATAGAAAATATAAAAAGCATATTACGATAAAAATCAGCAATAGAGTTTTGTTCTAAAGTAGAAGCAATTGCAAAGCACAGAAGAAAGATAGTATAAAACATCCAAATGCAATAATAATAATATTTTCCAAAAGTATTCCATTTAAAATCTATAATAGCAGTGAAATTCCACCAATTGTAAGAATGATTTGAATCTATATTACTAAAAAGTATAGATTTCGGCTTGTATAAAAGTTCATTCCAAGAGTTTTCACCATAATCATCTTGATATTTACAAATTTGAGGAAATAAAACGACGAAGCTAATTTTTCGAATTTTCTGTTGTATTGAATGATGTTTATAATATGGTTGTATTAAAGCTTTAAAATGATTATTATTCGAGTTTTTAATACAAACATTCTTGGAGTAAGAATGAAATGGAGTATTTTCCAAATTTTTAATTGACAAACAAGCGGGATCCAATATAATGGAAGTATATAAGATATATTTGATAACTAAATTAGAATAACGATAATAATCATGATCACATAATTTATGTAATTTCAGACTAATGATATAAGGTAATAACATCATGTAATTTGTTGAATTATTTTCATTCTCTTGGTCGATCAACCTAATAATCTTGTTAAAAATTGATTGGACGATATAATCATTCCTCTTATTCATTGCTATATCCAATATTTCTGATCCAAATTTTGAAAATTCTGCTGGATTATTTATAATACTCAAAAGTAACATCTTGTAAAGGTTAATTGGATTATCCAAACTTTTTACAAATAATACTTTTTCGTAAGGATCATCCAGATTATTGACATCACAATTTTCAAATATAATTATAAAGTTCGGTGATGGTAACGAAGGAAATGAGTCAGAAAATTCGTTATTTAAAAGTTCTTGAATAAGATCGTTAATATCGATTTTAGACTCGCTTTGTTTGGATCTTTCCCAAATATCATTCCAATTCTCATCATTCCAAAAGTACCGAAGGGTTAATAAATCTCCGCTTATTGTATAGATAAAGATTCCTCGCTTAGTAATTAAGGCCAAATCCTGGTTGTTTAACTGTTGATATGAAAGTATATCAATAGAACGATGAGAATCACAGTTTCGTGTTTCTTTCCATTTATGATCTTGTGATTTATAGAATCCTTTAATTACAAAAAAACCTTTATCATTATTTTTAAGCTTAAACCGAAAAAGTTCTCCACGTACCAATCCGATCTTATCTATTTTGTTGATGTCATTAAGGATACCCTTAAGCATATTTTGTATGATTTTGAAGATAGCTAATGTGTAAATATTACTATGATAGGTATTCTTGTTTAATATTTGTTCAAATGTGTCTTCATTCAACCCATCTGAAACACAAACATTATTTTCGACAATGAAAAATTTTCTGTTTGACTTGTTTATGATAATGTTCCTAGGGTCGTCGATGATATTGGTAATATCAATAATTGTGTCAGAAGGAAGAAAAGGATCTACGAACTTGCACGATGTTTCGTCAGAAAGTTTTTTATAAATAATTAATCCCTCAGAACCATCCTTTAAAGTTACAAATTCTATTGGTTCGTAGTCATCCGAATTTCTTGAAATCTGTATTCCGGTTTCTATTGAAAAGACGTAAATTACTTCCTTAATGTTTAATGCCAACAATGTTTGATTCTGATTTATTACTATATTAGATAGACTCCGATCAAGATCGAACGCTTTATAACTATCAGATAAATGGTATTGCATCTCAAAACTCATTGTTGATAAATCCAATTGAGATATCGTTGTCACGGTATCATATTCATAATATTTAGTAGTCGTCGAAATAAATAATTTTGTGATGTTTGCTGCTTGATATACTAAACAATCAACGTATTCGTCACTTCTTCCTGGAATTTCTATGTCGTATACTTTAGAATATTCCCATGGTGCTTTATCCGTTTTGGGTTTACTTTTATAAGAATACACGTAGATTTTGAAATCTGTTAAAGATACTAAAACTAAATCTCCATTAGGAAGAAACCCCATTGATTTTTCTTTAATGGTACCAATTTCTTTATGCTTATTTTTATCAATAGATTGCATTTCTGCATGTTTTAATTGAAGAAAATGTCCCTTGCCACCGTTTAAGTCAACAATACCTACAATATAAATTATTAATCACGCATGCAATGTGAATAAGCGTGTATATAACCCTTAATAATACTTACGATAATAAATTTCATTTGCTTTATTTGTTTTATAATAATAGAATATCAAAAATTTTTTATATAATACGAATGAGCTAATTTTATAGGGTTCATCAGATTCATAAAGAACGAAATCCTTATCGTGTTGTTGTTTATTCTTTTCAAAGTCAACTAACCATCCATTAATTGAATTATCAGATTCGCTATAAGTAACAACATAACTCATATCTGGAGAAACCACCATTCGATCAATTTGTTTCCCATTATGAGGTCGTGGTTGATTTTCCGAAAGAATATCTATTGCAGTTTCATTATTATCTTCTTGAGACTTTATTTCTTCCATGTCAGATAAATTAATTACGACAAATGATTATTTGGAAAAAAAATTTAAAATTTTTGAATTTCCCCTTAAAAAACAAGGGTTTTTAAGTGTGCGATCGACTGAACGTTTCAGATTGTTCAGATTGTTTGACATTCAATTTTAACGGATTGTTTATTTTTTTTAGTTGCGCGCATTTAGTCGGTTATCCTGTATCACATTTTTTATTATATGCGTTATAATAATACACAATATTTTTATTTAATCTTTTCGATATCCATTTAGAAGTTATAATTTGTCCATTTGGTGATATATTCTGAATTTAAAATAATTAAAATATCTGTATATTGGGCTATCGGTCTTAAAACCGGTTTTAAACCGGATTTTAGATCGGCTCACTAAACCTGGTTGCGGTCAGAATCGTTCTCTATTTTACTGCCACTTTTCAAAAAAAAAAAATTTGTATTTTCTATCTTGAAATTCACTATGGCTTCTGTTCATGTTAGGAAATTAGCTAGAGAATCTACCCTTTTCCTTCTTTGTGATATTCAAGAAAAATTCAAACCACATATTTATGAATTTTCAAGTTTAGTATCAACTGCAAAAAAAATGATTAATGTATCGAAAATTTTGGATATTCCTGTGATTGTTACTGAACAGGTTTGAATGTGATTTTGATTTAACGTGGTTGAATTATTTAATTATTAAAATCGATTAATAATTAACAACTATTTGTTCTTATAAAGAATCCAACAGGTATTATAAATTAATACGCAATAGCAAAGTATTGCGAATTTTTATCTGTAAAAAGGTCTTCCCATCAACTAATGAATTATGATTATAGCTCTTGGAAAAACTGATAATGATATTGATACTAAAGCTCATCAAAAAATTAAAGTCTATGAAAAAACAAAATTTTCAATGTATACCCATGAAATAGCAACAAGGTTGAACGATATGGAAAAGGAAATGGAAACAAAACCAAGTATTGTACTTTTTGGAATTGAGGTATGAAAGAGCATCCGATTTGCTCTTATATTATTAGTAAATTTACATATACCCTTTTATTTTATCCTAAGGCCCATGTGTGTGTGTTACAAACAACCTTAGACTTATTGCAGAATAATTATAAAGTCCATGTGTTGCAAGATGGCATTTCATCTATTCACTTTCCAGAAGTCGATATTGCATTGCAAGTGAGTGATTTTTTGTTTTGAATTTCTTTGATTTCTTTGAACTTTCATTTTATTTACCCTTTATACATTTAATAGCGAATGCGTCAAGAAGGAGCAGTAATCACATCATCAGAATCCGTTCTGTTTCAATTGTTGGGTGACTCCCAAAACGAGAAGTTCAAAGATATTTCTGGTCTAGTGAAAGAATACAAGGAAGCTACTGCAAACAACAAATTGCTTTTTAGATCAAGTATGTATAAATAACGGAATTTTTTTTATAATTTTCTTTGGGAATATTTTAATAATTTTTATATTTAAAAGGAGCACATTATTAATATTAAATAATGTTAAAACCAATAAATATTTGAGATCTACATTACCGAATTTTAAATAAACCTTATCTATTATTCAATGTTCTTACTTTCCCTGTTAGGCTTCCGCAGCTGTGTTTCATCCATTTATAAATTAATTGATTTCTTGTGCGTGTCACATGATTCGATTATTGTGTGACCTAAGAATTTTTGTATATATTTTTTGTAATATATTCAGTAAATATTTCGTAATAGCTGATTACTCATTTCCCCCAAAAAGAGGGCTTTTCTCATTTATATTGTATTTCCGACTACAATTCCGATTAATCGATTTAATCAGATGATTTACATGCAATTGCCCCAAGCATTTTTTTTTTGTTTTCACATAGAACAAATTGTGATACACTTCAAAAAACTTTTATAAATAAATTCAATTTTACTCAACCCTTCTTTCCCTCTCCTTTTTTTTTTTCCTCTTCTATTAAAATAAATATCATCACACAATATGGAAAAGGATCAACCGCTTTTATTTGAGTCATTTTTTAATTCACTTTCACTACCCAAATTAACATATCATTGGCATGTTATGTTATTATCTACATTAGGATTTTCTTTTGCGGCTGTAATTTCTCGTATAATTTCTCCAATAATTTTTCCAAAAACCTATAAAAATTTATATGGCATTAAAAGGTTTAATTGGGATATACACTTTGTTAGTTCGATTAATTGTTTATTAGTTGTTATATTATCTATACCCATATTTTGGGATGAGGAATTGATTAAAGATAAAGTTTTTGGTTATGATACTTATGCTGGAGACGTTTATGCTATTGCTTGTGGGTGAGTTATTAGTGAAGATTCATTCCTGTTGAGACAAAAAACTTGTTCAAAAATAAAATTGATTTGTATTTGTTCTTTTAAATTTCTTTTAGATATTTTCTTTGGGATGCTTTTGTATCTCTTTATCATGTGAAAGAATCCGGGATTGGATTTGTATTACATGGAACGTGCTGTTTTGGTGTCTTCCTGTTTGCTTACGTAAGTATCAAAATGAATTAACAGCTAAAAATGATGATTTCTAACGTGACAAAACCTTTTTTTTTTTTATCAAGCGACCATTTTTGAATTATTATGGTGCGGTATTTTTGATGTTTGAAATTTCAACCCCATTCGTAAACATACATTGGTTTATGGTATGTAAAGTATTAAAATATTGAAATTAAAAAGAAGAAAAATTTTAAATTAAATTAAAAAATATATATATATTTTTTTTAGGATAAATTGGGATTAACAGGAACGTTACCACAATTTATTAATGGAATATGTTTAATTGTAACGTTCTTTTGTGCAAGAATTATATTTGGATTTTACATGTCTTATCACACATTCCGTAAGTTTTGGGAATCTTTTCTCTTTTTTTTTTTTTAAAAAAAAAACCTTTTAGTTGATATGTTTTTTTTTTCGTTTTATACAGGATCGGTTATTGCAGTGATTGATCAAGTTCCAACATTTTTATGTGTGATTTATGGAACGGCCAACATTATATTAAATTGTTTAAATGCATTTTGGTTTTTTAAAATAATTGAAGCAATAGCAAAAAGATTTGACAAAACTGGCGAAAAGAAACAAAAACGTGGTAAATCTGCAAATACCACCATTAAATCCGACGGAAAAGCAAAAAAATTATAAATTCATTCATTCATTCAATTTTTTTTTTTTTGTTGATTCCTTTTCTATATATCTCTATAATTGTGCATTTGTATAATATCATTAAATAAATAAATTGGCTTTTTTATTACATATTCAAATCTTTAAATTAATTAAGTATAATGTAAAAGAATAATCGTCTAATCTACTAAATTGACAAAATATTAAATGATAATATTATAATTAAATGAATTATTACTATTATTTTTTCATAACCTAAATTATATGTCTAATTCTATTCTTATAAATAATTAATTCTTTTCGATATCATTCATATTCATTATCATCGTTAATTGTATATGCAACAACCACCTTATCGTCATCCTCATTACTATGGTTATGAACTTGATAATCCGATTGGACATTTGTGGCTTCTAATTGTTTTTTAGCAATCATTAATCCAATTGGTAAATTATCGTCATCCTCATAATTCTCATTATTAATATATAATTGTTTTCGATATTTTTTTTTGTAATTATTAGAACCAATATTTTCTGTGTAATCATCACCTTCTTCATCAACTTCATTACCGTTTTCAAAATCACTTACATATTCACATTCATTAATATCATCGGAGTATTCATCACTACTATGATAAATAACACTACCATCACTATCCAAGTCATCTTCTACTCCTTTTTCATAATAATGCCCTTTTTCTTCCAAAGTAATATCTTTAACAATATAGCCTTCACTATCCCTCCTAATTTTTCTCTGTGAATATTTAAATTCTCCTCCTTCTTCATTTTGTTGAATTATTATATCGCTACTAGTACTCTTTCTAATATTTCTTCTTCTCTTCTTGATTTCATTGTCTAACAATGAATCAGTAACAAATATATTATCACCATCATTATTATTATTCCATGGTTTCGCTGAATTTGATGATGGTAAAGTTGGATCTTTTGGTGGCCATATTGTTGGATCTGCAATTTATATTATTATTAGAAGGATAAAAATTTTTATTAATTAGTTAAAGTGTAAAGTTTCTTTATCCTTAAAAAAAATATATTATTATTTGCTTAAACATCACTTCACACAACGTTTCAATCTCAAATGAAACATCACACCTCTTGCTTTCATAAATTATCTTTTATTATTAAATAATTCTTTCTATTATACAATTTCCAAAACGAAATCACCCATTTCATTATTACCTGCATCTTTAGTTACAGGGTAAGATAATCCAGTTCCGTGCATTTTTCGTGGTAAACACCATAAAAATGGATTGTTCCCAAGTATTGATTGTATATTTTTATATATTCCTATATCATATGGAAATACAATCTAAAGATCAAAAATAATAATATTTGATAAATATTATCAATTTTTTTAGAAGCTATCATTTTAGGAAATAATAAAATCCATAAAAATGATTTATATGTTTTCTAATTACCTCCTTGATCTTTCCTCTCCTGACCATTGTTGAAACTTTATCCTTTTCCCAACTTTCAATTGTAGTGGTATTTGATAACATACAATAAAAATGATATAAGCTTAAAATACCAACTGAAAATAATACGGGTATAACTGCAACAAAATTTAATATTAAAAAGATTGCTTCCGTTGTTGTAGGTTCACTATCAACCTAATTAATTTTAATGCAAGGTTTTTTTTTCTTTTTTTAATAAAAATTATAATTAAACTCGAACAAAACAAATTATCCCGATATTTACCCTGTAATAAGACATGTCTTGAATGATTTTTGCAGTTCTTCTTATCATTAATATAAAATGAAATGTACATGTTACATCAACCCAAAATACAAATCTAATGAAGTGCCCATAATTAAAATGACCCACACAATTGTTGGTCCATGGACCTTAATACAATTAATAAGATTGGATTATGATTAACTAAGACAAATTCCAAATCAAATCAACGTTAATTGAACCGTTAAAACTTACAATGATGATCCATTTTTAATACACATCTAATATATATATATTTTTTTTTTAAAAAAATCATGAATTAATCATTTGAAGTGTCTTATTCGCTTTTGACATTTTGCGACTTACCTTTTACATGTACGACAGTGATGTGATCTTGGTGGCTTGAATGCAGAGCATGTCTTACAATATCTTGGAGCGCGTGTCGTTCGCTTTAATTCGACATTTTCTTGATTCTCCGGATACTGTATCATAAAATAATTTGTTTCATTAAATGTTTTAAATTTTTCAAGCCCCCTTTAATTCTTAAATATCCTACCCAGTCTTTAGGTACGCTACCAGGATCTGTATTACATGTTAAATAATAATTCCAAAAAATCATTATCACACAAACATTAAATGGTACTAGTACTTTTAAACAATCTACATTTAATCCTCCTAAATGATCCCAAAATATAAAAATTTGAGAGGTATATGCTAGAAAACTTATTAAAAACGATACTCCTACTATAAATAATTGACCTAAATCTATCATTTTTACAACTAATAACTAAATTAAGTTGAAAGAATGAATAAATAAAAAAAACGGAATTTTGGATGTCAGTAGACGGGATCCGATCATATGACCGATTTCGGTCCAATCTGATTGGAACCTAATTAACAACTCAATCATACTATAAATTATAAGCCATATTTAATTATAGAAATAAAATAATAAACGTTAAATTACTGCGCTTTTCCCGTTCAACAATCGAGTCGAATCGTGATTGGAGAAATTAGCGTTCTGCTCGTAAAATCCCGTTTAAACTGCGCACATGAAATTACATCTTTTATTTTGGTCAGCGTCTTATATTAGACAAGAAACGTAATTATGTAAATTATTGTACATAACTACTCTTATATTTTATAAAGGTCACCTCATTTTGTTTTACTGTAGCATTTTCAACGATTCATTGACAAAATTTTAATATAATTCGTTAATAATGAAAAGTATGTTTATTTTTCTTTTCAATTTTCGCAAAATTCTATTATTGTACATGGAAAAGCAAATAAAGTCTTTTTCAACAAAAATTTTCAATGTTAGAACTTCTTTAATTTAATGGTATAATGCATATCTAGTGCTCCGAGCCGGTCGAATCGACCCGGGTCATTCGACCCGACTCGAGAAAAAATTCGAGTCGGTACTATCATT